AGTAAATGAAGCGAAATATGCTGAGAAAGCGGAGCTTGCAGCAAACAAAAGTACAGTTAGTTTTTCTTGTTGAGTAGGAAAAATCATACGAGTGTTCTTCGATTTACGGAAGTGACCACTCCACCACCTCTGTTGCGAAATTTCGCAATCCGATTACTCCTGAAAATATCAAAGCCGTCTAATCCGACCAGATGATCCTCAATATCTGGGTGTAACCAGCTTTCCTGAAGTAAAATGACTCCCACACTTTCGCATTGTTTCTATTGCCCCAGATTCGATTTTTCCCACAAGTGAGCGAATATTACCCGTAAAAATGGACGGAATGATCATCCTGTTGATAGGACTTCGCCGAAGGGCATCCTGCCATCCAGCGCGATGCTTTTTATAGTGACCTTGACGTTTATTTCTCAACCGTTTGTAATGATTCTTCACGAAATGAGAAAAAGCTGAGATTACAACGTCATTCGTGAAAACAGAAAGATTTTATAAAGTGGAAGTTGTAGGTCAGCATTTGACCTTGAAAAAATTAGTGAAGTGATGTGAACGTGTACGGTCAATAGTATCCACTGCAAAAAACGTAAATAGTTGTCCAATTTCGAAAAGCACGGACGAAATTCAAAGGCCCCGCCACACCAATTATCTATCTAGTCGGGGATACCTGCCCTTCTTGCCCCTAGCCGTTGACATTTGGCTAGGTTTAGTGGCAGGTCTCGCTTATTTGAACAGGATAGTATGGCCTAAACATATTCATCAACGTATACTTCAGCGACCTTCACATCGTTAGAAGATAGGTAGCACGGGTTCCGCAAACCCGGCGGCAGGTCGTTGATGAAGATAAGGAACAGCAGTGGGTCCAGTACAGAACCCTGAGTTACGCCACTGAGCACATCTGCCGGGGCTGTAGTGTACGTGTCAACTTTTATAGGTCCTTCCCCCGAAGAAACTAATAACCCAGGTCCTGGCATTACCTGTAATGCCTACAGTTTGCATTTTACGGTTCAGGTATCTTTTTGACCAAATCGAAATACTTAACGAAATTCATGTACCAGACTTCCACAATGAGGCTTTCGTCGAGTCTCCTGGTCACGTCGTCTAGAAACAGCTGCAACCCTGTCAGACATGACTTGTTTGTCGCAAATCCGTGCTGCGTGGGTGTTATTGTGTTATGTACAACAAGAGGCTGGCATAGTTTTCGCCTCACAATACATTCTAGACATTTGTATACAACTCATGTCAGGCTAACTGGCCCATAGTTCGTGGGCTGGCATCATCGTTGCCATCTTCCATTTTCCAGAAAGATTTCCCTACGTGATAGAGACCGCGTAAAGCGACATCACCGGTAGAGCTAGGATTTTGGCCAATGGTTGAACTACGGCCGCATGAATTCCATCTATCCCAGCCGCTTTGTACTCATATAGATTGTGTAGCTCTCCCCTAATACATTATTCGTTCACCCACAGCTCAGATATACCTGGCAAGTTGTGGCTTCTCTGCCAGTGCTGTTATATTAAGTCCCCAGTGGGGAGCGATAGATCCCTGCGTAAGTTTCTAGGAGTGTCCTAGACTGTTCGGGCCATTTGGCCATCCAGACCTTCTAGCATAGCAACGTTTGCCTTCGTTCTCTTTTGAGGTTATACCTAACCATATAATCCTTTTGGATTCATCTTTGATGACCTGGATAACTCACTCTTAAAACGGAACTTCCCTTGTTTTTTTAAATCTTGTGGCCTGCTTATAGCCAGCTTATGCCTTATTGGTGCGGTACGTAACGCGGCACGAAATCTCCTGTTAGGCTAATCAGGCCGACTTTATTGCTCCCCATATTTCTTTTAGAGTGTAAACGAGATATTAGACAACCCAGGACATTACTGGCACTACTCTGTTCATTTTTTCTCTTCTTAGCTTGCCACAGCAATTAATGTTGGTAGCTAAGGATAGTCTTCCGTGTAAGGAAAGGGAGGCCTTCATCACTACATGATCACGTTTGCCCGGAGGTGACTCATTGGTCAATTGAATAATGTCCCTGTGGCACTTTGTGATGAATAGATCTAGTATTGAGAGCGATTGACTTCCTCGTTGTCTCGTAGGCATCGGTACGTGTTGAACCAGCCCATGTAGTTGCAGCCGTTATAGGAATGTATCACCCGTGGGTTATCTGGGCGCACTTCCAGCCTCACAGTTGATGGCTAGAAAGTTGAAGTCACCAAAAATAACGAACGCCCCAGTTATCGTGAGTAATTTTTGCAGTGATCTCCTTAGATCACTATGCTATCGTCCGCTGGTGTAGGAGGCTCTATAAACGCACGTGATACATAGTGTTCTGTTATTTGAGTTTACGAAACAGGACGTGACCTGGATATTTTCAGGGTCCATTTTAAACGGAGCCTCTCAACTCCCATGATCTCAGTGCACTAGAATGGCAACCTCACCTTCATTCTTCCGTCTGTCCTGTCCTATTTATAGGTTATGTAGCTACATTATTAGGAATCCACCAGGTTTCGGTAATGACAGCCAGTGCGCACCCTGTTACTCCGGTGGCCGATTCTCCCCATTTCCCTTGAATGCTGCAAGCAATTTTGTACCAAACCTGTGGTTCACTTGCTTACGGTTTGGGTCCCACTACAGCTGTTATTTCCATTGACCCTCAGACGTTAGAGGGGCTGAGTGATCTTCTGCACCGGATGTTATGGCCACAATTGTATCCCCGAGGTTCCACAAGGCCGCTCAAGTCGAATTCCAGCCTGCTGCCTTATAAACATGGAACTGGCTGCTCTTCTTTATTGCGAACCTCTTCCGGACAACATACCACGATTGCCCAGCTCATGATTTTCGGAGTAACAACTGCGTAAGCATTCACAAGCTGATCACAGTTCCTTTGCTTTCGTGGTTCATTTCCTCGGTCCACAGTTACGTAATTCTACCCCCTTCGCTCTATTATAACTGATTTTAAGTACATTCGGAGCCTTCTGCTTGTTTTTTGTATCCCTTGGTTTCGATGTCCCTGATGGTATCTTCGGAGTAGACCGGACTAGCGGTACCATCGCCTGATCCTTTAATCGCTGATTCTCCGTTAGTTCCTCGACGTTAGGTACTTTCACCTAAAGTCGTTTGGCCTCCATTCTAATATTCTCGTTGGCGCCAACGCGCGTTGTCATACGCGATCTCTTTTATGGCGGACTGTCTGGCGTAACGCGTATTAGGCAATCGGGTTGTTTTGCGATTATACCCGCTCTGGATAAAAGTTGATCCCCCAGTACATTTTGGGAAACGTAATCAATACTGACCGCGGCTGCACTGTTTGTGGCCTTCAAAAGAGTCCCATCTGATGAAATTTGACTACAAGAGCTGTTGCGGGCCATCCGGATTGTCCCTCACGTGGCGACCATCCACATCCTGTCTGATTTTATGGTTGCTGACCACTGGTTCGTGGCAGTTGCGCAGTAGCAACCGCCTACTGCCTTCTAGACTTTGGAGTTTGGCTGTCTGAATCTCTGCCTGGAGTTGTTTGACTTCTTCCTTCAAGACTGCAAACTACTTTGTACGTAAAGTCAGATAACTTCCCGCTCAGTCTGTTCGATACTTCAGTTGTGTTAGCTTCCTTAGTATGCTTTCCACCTTTGCCCACGCTATTCCTCGCATCCTCGGTCGCAGCTTAGTTAAATTGGAGCACATTTCCATGGGGTTCCTTATCGTGTCTGGTCTATCCGTAGAAGAATATCTCAGACAATCCCAGAGGATTAGTGAGCATTCATCCGCGAGGGTAGTGCAATGCCGACAGATTCATCTGAGGGATTTATGCATAGTATGTAGCTGAAAGTCTTTTTTCTCAGCCCAGAGCAAGCTTGCTGACATCAGCAGTGGTATTTATCACACAGTATGTCCTCAGTTACAGACTCAGCACATGAGCTGGCCGCACAATGCCCTGTACTTTCCTTGCGTAGCATTTGTCTCGTTAATGATTTTTTATGAACAAAGCAGTACCATATCATAATAGTCAAAAGCAATTCAATGTGACAATTAAGTCTGGAAACTCTTCGGATCTGATAGTATACGATTACGGTTGAATATGAGTTAAGCAATCGCAATAAGTAACAATACACTGAGAATGTACCACTAGAAAGTTAAATGATGCTTGAGGTGTACGAATACGCTTAAAAGTTTAATACAAACTAAAACAATTCTTAGAAATTTACCCACGACAAAAAAGAAAACCGCGCGGCGTCAAGGTTAAGACGACATAATCTGGTTCATTTCAGGCCATCTGAGATATGTTTTGAAATACTCCGCTAACCGTTCAAACCATGCCAAATGTTTGATTCCTCGTTGGTTCATTTAAATAGCTCCATTTTGGAGGAAAACAATGAAACTCATCTGATCAGTCTTTCTTCGTTTATCACTCATTATAAAAAATGCCGAATTCAACTAGAGTTAATATTTGCTATGAACATCTGAGTGTAAAATAAAAACAAGTAAACTGGTGACAAAACGGAAGTTCAAACAATGAAGAAACCTGCAAAAAAACAAAAAATCATGATATTTTCACTGGTGGAATAGGACGAGTATGGGCATCCTAAGTGAATATTTTAAATACAAAATATAGAAGCTATATAAAGGGTTGGAAATTAACTAAAGCATGGGGAAGGATTACATCTCTCAAAAGAAGTTGACTGATCTATGACATAGTGAAAGTAACACAAGAGTCAATAATAAGACCGTAATAATGAGTAGTAATTGAATGACTGGACAAAATTTTCCAGAAGCACACAACCGTTTTCGCAGTCTTTTCCGCTCGTTCGGTATCCATATTCAGTAATATTCTCAGTTTAAACAGCCTTCCTATTCGAGTCATATCCGAGCCACATGGAAGTCTTATTGGAGTCCGTTTGCACCCAAAACGTGACTTCAATGGGACTCTTCCATGTGGGACTAGTATGGGACCAGGATAGGACGCGAATGGGACTACTACTACTACTACTATCCTTAAAACATGGCGTCGCGTGATGGAGCTCCCAAATAGTGAGCAACTTATCCTGCAGGCCAGCCCATCTGAGATCGAAGAATGGATTGAACGATTCGAACTGTGGTGCAGCATTCATAAATGTGGCACCCAAAACCAACGAGCTCTATTCTTCACCGCGGGCTGTCGCGATCTCTATTCTCTGTTGAGGAACTTGGCGTTTCATGAAGCATCAGCTAAATTACTGTACGAAGCCCTCAAATCGTTACTGCTTAACCACTTGCTGCCCACAGAGTTCCAAGCACATCAAAAGGCCAAATTCAGTTTGCTGATTCGTGCTGAACATATCTTGTGCCGTGATTTTATTCTGCAGCTGAACAAACAGGCATCACGCTGTAACTGTGGTGATCGTCTGGAAGAACAACTGCGTGATCGCTTAGTACCAGGAACCAGCAACCTGACTCTTCAACGGAAGGTGAAGGAGAAGAAGGATTTACCTTTTGTCGAGGCCCGCAAGATTGTGAACAAAATGATGGCCTGGTGAAAGCGAATTCCAGCGACGCAGTCACTCTATTTCAACGGCAGAAAACGAGACCGACCCAACCTACAGTGATCAAGTATACAAAGAGGCCACAGCAAGACCCTTCTGGCAATGATAAACGTATCAACTCGTGGTTGTCATCTGGAGCTTACCATCTGCGCTTCACTTGCCGCTTCCGCAATGCCAAGTGTCATGCGTGCGATAAAGGTGGCCGTATTCGAAGGATTTACAAACAGCCCCGTTGCATTCGTGCACAGTCAACAGCCGAAAATGACACAAACTTTGTCTCTACGAACCGAAAGCTAATGCACCCAATTCTTGTAAAAACAGTCCGGCAAAAAGCACAAATTAATTGTTGACACATGTAGTACGGAATCTATCATTTCTACTGCAGAGCTCCGGTCAATCCGTCCCCAAGCCCAAATCCACCCGACATATGTGCAAATCCTTGGCGTGACTAGATACAATTGCTATTGATGGGTGAGGTTTCGCTGATAGTGCATTTCACAGAAAATCTCCTTGTTCCCCTTCGCTTCTTAATTGCCAAATCAGTCCATCCATACTTGGCTTAACCACCATTCGTGAATAGAACCATTCTGTGTCGCTCCATACGAGCACTACGCCACTCGACTACATCGGCTAATGGTGAAATGTTTCATCAATAACGAAGACATGAACTTGCAGCAGGCGAAATTGGAAGTTCACGGTGAGCCCATTTTCCTGGGACGACGTGTAGACTCCTATCGTCAACGTGAAGGCGTGTTGAAGGTCCGTGAGAAAATGGATTGCGAACGGTATAATTACCTGAGTCACGTCCAGTGTGTGGGCAACGCTAATCGTGATTGCGATCCAGAGTGACGGCAAAACACCACGAATTTGTGACGATTACCTAAAATCCTCAAGGTGTGTCTACCATCACGGAAAAGGAGGATTTCATGAAAGTATTACACGGCAGCACATGTTTCTCGAAGTGCGAATTGGTTGATGCGTACCTCTAGATTCCTCTCGCTCCAGCCTGCCGGTAATTCACCAATAACCTCACACCGTGGGGGTTATATCAATAAAACTTCCCACCGTTCGGTCTCCGCACATCTTCAGGGATATTCCAGGAGACTATTGATGAAGTCATTCGCTGACTCGATGGTTTGTTAGCATATCAGGACGACGTCATTGTGTTTGATACAAGGAAGGCCAAGCTCAACGATAGGCTTCTGAAATTACTGGAACGTTTTGCTCAAAAGAATGTGTCAATCGGAGCCTCTAAATGTATGCTCAGTTTGCCAGAATTAAAATTCTTGGAATTCACACTTGATGCGAAGGGTTACCGTCCTGATCCAAGTCGCTTCCGCCTATTGGCTGAACTCGAATCACTGGGAGACCAACACGAACTTCGGCCCATTATGGTATGTCTCCGCTACCATTCACGTTTCATCCCGAACATCGCCATAAGAGTTCAACCGCTGTTTGCTGCTCAGTCGACTGCAGAATGGAAATGGATTGCCAAAGGAAAACAAATTCTGCGCAAAATCATTCAGATGATAACGGACCGACAAGTGCTTGTCTCGTTCTCTCCGACGAAACACCTAACTTTGATTAATGACGCGTCAGCCGTTGGCATTGGTATCGTACTCGAACAGGACAGATTTCCGATTGTTTGCATCTCTCGTCTATTGAACACGGCAGAACTGGGATATTAGCAGACGCGGAAAGAAGCATGGGCTGTATATTCGGCTGTCCAACGCCTGCACAAATACCTATTTGAACTGCCTTTCGCCATCGTAACCGATCATTAAGACCTGCAGTACCTGTTCAGTCCACAAAAGTCGATGTCCAAAACGACAGTGGTGATGGTTCTTCGATGAGCATTGCACTGGCTGCCTACGACTACGACATGGTGGAACGGTAAGGCAAAATATTCCCCAAGCCGATTTTCTGTCCTGGTGGTCCAAATTCTCGGGGGCTAATAGGTGGCATTTTAATGCTACTGCTGCCCCGATAACACGGGAGAAGTTAAAAGTATGTACTAGAAGATGCTATGCAGAGATCATAACAGCCATGTTAAAAGGATGGCGTCCAGACCTGAAGTGGAAATTCCTAGCATTCTATGCGCATCGTGAAGAAATTAGTGTGTAACCTGACGGAATCCTATGCCGCAACGATCGACTGATCATCCCACTTCCACTAAGCAAAGCAGTGCTAGAAGATTTGCACAACAGCTACTTAAAGAGGCGGATGGAGAGGATGAAGTCGTTGGTCCGACAGATGTGTCGATGGCACGGTCTAGATGAAGATATTGGTCGAACCGCTAAGAACTGTGAAGCGTGCCGAGGCAAGCGGTCAAAACCAAAGAAATGGGTACTATGATCACAAATATGCATTTCTTGGCAACTCGCGCACGCCGACTTCTGTGGGTCAATTTTTGGTCATTACAACTCACTAGTACTCAAAGTGGCCGGAACTGTTTCTAACCGGCAGACCGACTGCGTTATTTGTGATGGGGGCTCATCGAAACTGTTTAGCACATTACGTCGGGCCGGAGTTATGACGCGAATTCAACAGATCGGGCTTATCGAACGTTTCCCAGAGCGAGNCGGGTACGAGAGTTCGTAGTATAATGTGACCTGCATTGGAGAGTGTACAGAGAGCAAATCGCACGATACAACTCACCGGAAATTGTGCAAAGTTCGAGGTCATATGTGTTCTCAAAACGGAGGGCAATAAAAAAAATAGGGTTTTACATGAGTCAGGGGAATGGTGTTGGAAAGTAAAAATAATGTTACTACACAGTCCCTCCCCTTAGAAGGTTGGTGATGCCAACCTACGAACAGTCAAATAAACACTGTGTGTATGTGTGTAGGTAACGCGGAGGATTGTACAGTATACAAGGGTCCAATGGTAAACCAGTCTGCGGAAATTGGCAAGGAAAAATGGTCCACACAGATGTGGGTGCGTGTTGATGCAGTGCAAAGGCTGACCATGTAGGAACAGGTGCGGAAAATGTAAAAGCGTGATGTAGAGGTTCCGCAAGGTCAGGTTAGGTTGCAGAACTTGCGGTTCAGGCCCATCTGAGTCCAGGTTCTTGTACGTGGAGCGTTTCGGTTGTGTAGTAGTGCTTCGACAATAGAGAAACCCTTGCGAGATGATTTCGGAGCCATTCGGTGCTACTTGGACAACGTTCCGGTTCGGGTGCTGCTGCGGCAGCGGACACAGTGTAATGCCGTCTTTGGTGAAAGGAGAAATGCCACGGGTGTCGTACGTGCGCTGAAGAGAAGATATCAAGGAAAACTGCAGGACCCAGAGTGGTTTACTGGTAGTGTAGTGGAAAAAATACTACATATACGAATAATAATGAAATAAACGGTGCAAGGAACGGACTCACAGAAGGATTGTCCACTGGTCGATTGATCCTGTTCTTGTGATGTGTGGTTCCGGTCGATGAGGTGTAGAGGAGCTGAAATGGATGACTGCGACAGTTAATGGATCACTTGACGGTAACTGATAACGCTTGCTTAATGCCTCAGCAACACTCGGAGAACACGCGCGTATTTCCGAACAGAATTTTGTATTGTCTCCTAGGTGCTGTGCATATTAAAACAAGCTGTACAATCAGGTCAGATAAAGTGGATAGAAAAGTAAGACAGTACANAGTAGCCCCAGTATCACCGACACAATGGTTTATCTTCTGCGGGGTGTGTGGGGCAGTCCACGCGGGTTGCCTGGTCGGTAAAAACACTGTCCGGGGCAAACCAGAAAAAAGACCCGGCCTGCCAAAACCCGAAAGGCGTCTGACGGTGAAATAGAAGCGGCCTCTCCCCCCCCCACACCCCACTCCTCGCACCTGCGTTCCCCGATTCGACAACGACGTTGGTTCCAGGAGGTGTGATCTTCGGACAATCCCATTCGTGGACGATGTCCTGGAAGAGAAGAGGAGACGACTAGCCTAACAGCACAATGGCTTTTGGTAGAAGGGAGGAGTGGGGGTATCGAAGGGAGCATGGCAGAACAACAAAAACCATATAAAGCATGTTTATGGAATTCCGAATTTTGTCGTTTTTAGGGTTTTGAAGATTTTGCGGTTTTTTGTCGTTTTCTGTATAACGCAAAGAAAAATAAGAAAACGCGTGAAATGGGACGTGACCACCAGCCGTAAAAATAAAAAGGTGGTTAACGGTCAAAACGGATTGGTCGGTGAACTACGCGACCACGACGGTCGCGTTTGACCAGTACAGAGGGTGGCATGGGGGGATACCTGGGGTCTGTGATGGAACCAGAGGAGGCGGGGAAAGTGGTACTGGATCGCTGGGTGGAACAAGGAAAACGTTCTCGGCGTTGCTCTCGAGGAAAGCTGGCTTAAGGCGACCTAAGCTAACCGTTTCCCTCCTACCGTTAACGTCAATGACAGCGGTCTTATCCTTACGGGTTATCACCCGATGGGGACTGGTGTACGTCGATTGTAGGGGTGAACGCGTGCCATCAACGCAAAGGAAAATGTGTGTGCACCGCGTACGTTCCCTAGGCACGTAAGCGGGAACGTGCTGCTGACGCGTGTTGGCAGCTTGGACCTCCCGCATTTGATGGTTAAGACCTTGGGCGAAATCAGCGTAGTTGAAGTTGCGTAGCGGGGTTGGTGCGACGAGTTCCCCGGGAAGGCGTAGTGTGCAACCGAAAGATAAAGCGGCCGGTGTAGTGTGCAAGTCGGCCTTTATCCGGATGCCCAAGAAGACAAGCGAAACGGCCACAGGCCAATCGTCACCGGAGTATGCTTTTAGGACTGCCTTGAGCTATCGGTGGAACCGTTCGACCAACCAATTGGCTGCAGGGTGGTAAGCGGTGATACGAGCGTGCGCGCAATTTCATATATTGAGTAGAGACTTGAATGTTCCCTCAAAATGTTGAGCTAGCAAAGGCACATTTATTTGGGTGAATAGAAACAATAAGAGAACGAAATCTTTCAAGCAAAGCACACAAGTGTTCAGGATGTAACTGTCTGCTAGGAACATGAACAATACTATCGTGCCGATATGCGCATACACCTTATAAACCGGAAATGATGGAATTAATAGTAGTCTGAAAAATAGTAGGGGCGAAACTGAGTCCAAAAGGTAGAAAATTGAAGCGAAATAAACCAAACCAAAGGTCGTAAGTTAACGGGACTTTTCATCATGGGAAATTTGAAGGAATGCATCTTTTAAGTCTAGATTAGAGTAAAACTTTGATCCGTGAAGTTGGTGCAGAATGTCTTCTGGTTCGACGATCGCACAACTGGATTGTTTCAGTTGTCTGTTCACAGTAACTCGATAGTCTCCACATATTCTAGGAGTTTTCCCGTCACGTTTTAGTGGAGTAACAATTGGCGTGGCCCAAGAATTCACTGGCCTCAGAACTCCCTCGTTGACCATTTCGTCTAACACCTTTTCTACGGGCTCACGAAGTCCAAGTGGGATAATTCGACGTCTCACAAACAGAGAAGAACCGGTCGCTTCTAGACTCACAGGATTCATTTTGATAACCCCGTTTACCTTAGAGCATTCACGTACTAAGTGACGAAGTCGTGATTGGTGAGAGTGAGACAAATTAAAATGCCAGGTGCATACAATTCAAACCAATTATAGAAATGTCGGAATTAGTAGCCAACAAAGGACAATGAACTGTTTTTGATTTATCGTCCAAAATAAGCAGTTCGCATGATCCTAAAAAGGACAAGGAATGACTAATAATTCCCTTAACTGAAATGTCTATTGGGGAAAGTATAACTGGAGGGTTTGACTTACGGAACACCTTTTTGGAAATGAAAGAATCAACATTACCGGTGTCCATGATGAATATATGGCGAATGGAGTCATTACTGATGAAATCACGAATAATGTGGCGAGAGGGACGAGAACTTGTACCGGCTAGAGTTAAGGACTGTAGATCACACAATAAATCTTCAGGAGAATGAACAGTAGTACGTTTTGTAAAACGACTTCGCACTTTTACAGACAGATTGCATATGGCCAAGCTTACGGTAATTGTGACACTTGACATTACGAAACCTACAGGTTAGCCGCGAATGTCTTTGACCACAGAATTTGCACTTGTTCTAGCGTTGAATCCGTTGGTCACCATGGGCTGGAGAACTGACGTTGCTTGGTGTTTTCGAGCCCTTTAAAAAAACGCTTTCGTCGGGTTTGTGACTGTTTGGAATTGTTGGCATTGAACAACACATTGGGTGCATCACAAACAATGGCACTGATATCTGGGTACTGTTCACAGACTGCCTTGGCCGACTGAAATGTGCAGTCGTGCACGAGCAAGAGCTTTTGCTGCATTTCAGGGCAATTAATACCAGCGATTAATCGATCACGTAGCTGGATTTGTAATTGAATCCGAAATTACAACACAATGCTTGAGTTTGCAGGTGGAGAATGAATTCACGTATGGGTTGGCCCCCACCACGTGTGGGCAAATGAAATTTACCTCTCTCAGTAGCTTTGCAAGTAGCTGCTTGTAGATGTTTCAACAGTAAGGTTTTCAGGGATTCATACGACAAAGATATAGGAGTGTCAGGAAAAGCCAAATTCTTCAACGGTGCGTATGCATCCTTTCCAATAACCGTAAAAAGATTAGCCGTTTTGCATTTTACTTCGAGTCCTTTCCGCGTAATACACCAAAGCTCGAATGGTTCGAGGTAATTTTTGACTTCACGCTCATTGACATGTTTATTCAGGTTCTCCAAATTACAGGAATCCATTGGTTCAAAACGACCGCGACGCCAGTTGGTGTAGTTAGCACTCGGACTGGTAATTCGTACACGTATCGAAATCCGCGCAGTGATAGTACAACTCAGAACTACGACTCAAAATGAAACCGGAACACAGATCTCAAAACAGAATCGAACTGTAATAAGCGGAAATTCGAAATGTACAAGGATATCGTGTTCAATAAAACAAAGGAGTTCATAGTTCATGAGCAATCACC